GCAACCCTTGGATCCAGGGTGCAGGAGCCCATTTCCCAGGTCCTAGTTGTGAGCCGCGCCTCCTTTGCCCCAAGAGGCTGCGTGTGGTGCATGCAGAAACCCCCTTCTTGTTCTTGCATGCCCTGACACAATGCCAGAGTTATAATAGCTGCTCTAAAAAAGAGGGAATAAATGATTAAACGCCACTTTGCCCTGAAGAGCTAATTTAATGTGTGGTGATTATAATTGGCTCCCTCTCCTCATTTCATTTGACTTGAGAAGATTTCACATTTGTGCTAAATTTGAGCTGTTTCTTTAATCACAGAAGGAATTCCCTCTACTTCAAAGCAGACAGCCAAGACCTCTGAACACCTCTCAGAGCAGGTCCTTGGCTCTGGGCAGTGAAAGGAACCGTGGGCTACTGGCCTCTCCCTGCCTGGACGAAGACACAGCCCCTGGACCTCTGGGAACAACACGGCTGCTTGGCTGCTTGGCTGCTTGTTGGACAAAAAAGCCAAGTCAACTCTTACCCAGGCGGCTGTGCTGTGGTGATGACGTCCAGATGGGGACGGCCAGGATGTGAGGAAGACCACAAGGGACACTCTGGCTAGGAAAAGAGGAGCATGGGGTACGCATGTGTGGGAGGGGCTGTCAAGGTGGAGCAGAAAGTGGCAGGAAGACGTCTGTCCTCCAGCATCTGAGCAGACTGCAAGCAGGTCAGGGCTTCCAATCTGCAGAGGCAGCGATATGCTGCAGGCGGGCGGGCGGCTGAATCCCAAGAGGAGGCAGACAAATCCTCTGGGACAGTGGGCGCCCCAGGAGTAGCCCTGCAGCCCACAGGTTGTGGCTGCCGAGTTCTGTCCCGTTCCATCCTTGGAACTCCATCTCCATGCCACGGATTGCCACCCGATTTCAACACACACTCTCACTGGAACCTTGTGATGAGACCTCTTGAGCCCTCTCTGACATGTTTCCTGCAGCTCTAGGTGGGGGTGGAGGTCACACCAGCTGGCAATGACCACGAAGCAAGTTACCTATGAACTTTATGTAAGGACAGTCTGCAAAAGTACTGAATGTGGTTCCCAGCCCCCGGGTTATTGCAGGCCCCTGACACCTCCATCTGTCAAAGTCTGGCTTTGATTTGCCAGCCCAGGAGAAAGCCTACCCACCCAGCATCACCTCAGATGATGGCACAGGCTGGTCACTGCAACTCTATTTATAGGCAGGGCCAGAACCTCTTCTGATCAGCTTGGGTTTGATCTCAGTCGGTGGGCAACGAGGTGGTAGAGCGCGAGCTCTGAGTACTTCCTCCAATGAGGGTATTCCTGCTGCCCCTGAGCAGGGCTTCTGGTGGTCTAAGTGTGCAAATATCCATTTCAAGGGTGGAAACAGATGAAAATTTAAAAAGGAAGTATGAAAACTGCCACAGGCTTTGGGAGATTGCAGGCCACAGTGAGCTGACCAAATTGCAGGCCTGGGGGATCCTCTCCGCTAGCACCCTGCTGCCTCCTCTCCCTTCTTGCCTGTGTGCCTTGTCCTTGCTCCTTGGGATCATGTCTCTTTTCTCCTCAACAGGCCATCTCTGGATCTGTATTCATGCACATCTATTTTTTTTTTCTATTGATTTTTCTTCCTTGTGTTTTTGCCATTTTATTCTTCCTCCATATCTATTTTCTTTCTGTGTTTTTTTTCTTTATCATACCCCTTCTCCTTTCAATAAAGGGACATAAAGTATTTTAAAGCATTATCTTAAAATATTAAGATGAATATTAAATAAAGTTGCCTTAACAATAAGTGTTGGCAAGGATGTGGGAAAAGGGTCCACTCATATATTGCTAGTGGGACTGCAAATTGGTGCAACCACTCTGGAAACTCCTCAAAAAATCTAGGAATGGAACCACTACTTGACCCAGCTCTCCTATTCCTCTGTCTATACCCAAAGGACTTAAAATCAGCATACTACGATGACATGGCCACATCAATGTTTATAGCAGCTCAATTCACAATCGCTAAGCTATGGAATCAACCTAGGTGCCCTCCAGCAGATGAATAGATAAAGAAAATGTGGTATATATACACAATGGAACATTATTCAATGATAAAGAAGAATGACTTTTTGACTTTTGCATGATAGTCTAGAGACTATCATGCTAAGTGAAGTAAGCCAATACCCCCAAACCAAAGGTCAAATGTTCTCTCTGATATGTGGGTGCTAACCCATAACAAGGGGGAGGGAGAGGGGAAGAATAGAAATTTCTGTGGATTAGACAAAGGGGAATGAAGGGAAGGGAGGGGGGATAAGAATAGGAAAGACAGTGGAACGAATCTGACATAGCTCTCCTATGCACGTGAATGAATACACCCCAGTGTCTCTATCTTGGGTACATCCACAAGACTGGGATTCTAATTAGAATATTTTGATGTACAAATACATCAAAACAGATTCTACCGTCATGTAAAGCCAAAAATGACAAATAAAAATTTTTAAAAAAGAAAAATTAATAAAGTTGCCTTTAATTGGACATTTAAACATCTGTTAACATTTTTATCTCTCTTGGTTGCCCTTTAGAAAATATGAGTGCAGTTGACTTTCAAGGTGGTTGATTAATGGCACATGATGGAATGAAATGTTCCTCATTCCTGCTCTAGGAGAAGGCGTGGTATCTGCTTAGCCGTTGAAAGCATTTGGTCGGGGACGGTGGCAGGAGAAGAATCACTACCAGTTCTAGTTAAACAGAGAGATGTTCTAGTAACCAGATGGGTTTTGCTTGGCAGTTTATCAAGCAAAGTGTTGACTGGCTCTGGAAGCCCATTCAGAACACCGTGTGCCGGGTGTTCATGATTCTGTTTATGTCCTTCTCCTCTGATGGCCATGGCTTTGATGTTCCCATCAGCTTTATGGAGGGGTAATTGTGTGTCATTCTTTGCTCAGTGTACTGATGGAATCTCCTTAAAAATTATGTATTTATTTCCTTATAGATTTCCTGCGCAGAATAAATGTGCAATTGTACATTTCATTATTCATGAACTTGATGTCCATGACATGTTTGTTAGGTTGACCACATGATGAGCATTTCATAGCAGCTAGGAGAGTCACAAAAGGTTCTGTGTCTCTGAGCATCAGTGAACCCACAGTGCTGGGTATAACCCCAAGGTGTGCAATCAGACTTTAAATTTCTTACACAATGAATATATCTATATGATCTTTTTATTAAAGACAAAGCAACTTAGAAGAATGTCTGGTCCCTTTCATCCACCAGAAGGTCTGAAATTTAATCTTGACTGAGTTTTCCTAAGACAGTGGATTCCTGGACCAAAGTCATAAGGATTCTCATTGAAGCAAACCTGAAACCTCAATCCGGCTAAGCAACATTCAAGTGAGGAACTCTTACTAAAATGCATCTGGAATCCAAAAATACCATAGAGGAAGAAAAATAAAAACACCTTTGTCAGATATACTGACCACTTCAGCGCCCACCGTGTTTTACAATCCAACGGGGTGAGTAACTACACTAGGATATCAACTTCTAACGGAAGCCTGTGAACGCTTTCAGTCCCGGGACACATGGTCAGCACTATCTGACGTCACCCAGATATCCAAGACCACATTCACCGACAATGCAGCTAGGTTCTGAGCCGTGGCACTTTCAGAGAACCCATGAACCTGCGTGCTGGTCATTTGGATGACAGCTTAGAACTGAGTCTGCTCATGTCTGGGGACAGGGACATGTTGGTGCTGTCTTAAGACACATGATGTTCTGGTCGAGCTGGGCCTGACAACCTCCCCATTTCATGCCAGGTCTGAGGAGGACGCTCCACGACTTCCAGATACCTTTACTTACCAACAACCAGGTTGGGGTTCTTCAAATTAAGTGGCAAATCCTTTCAACAATTCTCAATGTGTAAGACGAAGGTGGAGGGGGAGAGACAATAGGGCAGAGAGTGGGCCTAAAGAGAGGGGACAGAGTATCCCCGGGGTCTGCTCCTTACCTAGTCCTCTGAGTCATCGTCTGCATGGTGCCATGAGCATGCCATCAGGACTGGCATGGACTTAGGCAGGGGTTTGGGGCCAGGAATTAGAGAAGTGTAACCAATTTTTAACATTATCTTGCCTGGGGGAGGGAAAGACATAGGGGTAAAGATTCTGGGCTGTGCTACAGAGGAACACTTGTGTTTAATAGTCTGATGGTTTGAGGAGTAATAGAAGGAAGAAGGTGCCCAGTTAAGTGGGGGCAAGATTAATGGTTAAATTTTCAGGCCAAATTTAATAAGGTGCTAATAGCCCTATTGGTAATGCAGAAGTGTGTGCAAGCTTCTTGGAACTTTCCATGAAAACTCTTATCTCCAGAAGCAATATATATTTTCAAAGGAAACAATAACCATGAGCCTTTAATATTTAAACTTCCACAGAGGAAATTGCATTTCTCATTTGCAGGATGATTCATTATAATTAATCCCCCCTTTCCTATTAAAAATGCTTTGTGTATTCTGTTTACTTAGCTTAAGAGCTTAGAGCGTTATGATGCAGATATACTCAAAACTTAAATCATTACAAGCCAGCGACACCCCAAGCACTCCATTATAAAGTAGTTCTGACTGAAATTTCTGAACTACACTGAAAAGATTTAGCAATGATCCGTCATTCCACCTCTTTTTAGATCAGCCGGCCCCACAGGAAAGCCACACATTAAACTTCAGCTGACTTACATTAAAACCTCCTGAAATTCAGGTTGAAATTACCTTGGGTCCCAATCCCCAGTGCACTGCTACAGATAAAATCCATTTTCATTATTTAGCTCTGTAGTTTGGGTAACAGCTTCAGCACAGAAATTTGACCCCAAGCAAGATGAATTCTGAATAATACCTAAAGACACACTCATGGCACGGTGCGCTGTGCCATGATAAACAGCTCGGCCTGAGCAAGAGTGGGCGACCAGGACCGATGGGACCATCCCAGAGGGGTGTGGTCTTTGGGCTTTTCTACCAGAATCAAAACCAGTAATGAATTTGAGGTTACTCACTCATGGATTCTGTCAACTTGGCCATCGCTGTCATTTCTTGTTTGTGCTTTTCCTGGAGATGAGAAGAAAAGACAATTACATGGATACTAGGTCTTAGATGGGCATTGAGACAAGGGGTCAGGGACAGCTGTATCCTTCTCCCTTCTTCCCCTGAGGTCAGCTTTGGTCACCAGTGATCCAATAAATAAATAAATCCCCACATTATCGCTGTGTTATCAGGAAGTCACTGAAAAGAGATTTTTAGGGCATCAGAAATTTCCCATTGCTCCTGGCGATGAGCGTCTGGCACACGGATCTTGGATAAATATACTTAGTGATGCACGACTGGTTTCCAAAACCTCTTTGACACTGGATTTTTGACATACATATGCCAAAATTTTGCTCTCTATTTTCTCCCGTTGAAGCTTTTTTTTTGGATGCTTTTTCGAGTTGATATTTTTGTAGTCATTTGGTTTCCAAAAAACGACATAGATTTTCCACATGTCTCTTGGTCTTACTTTTTTGGGTGCCTTTCGTGTCTTCTGAAGGTCATCACTTTTGATGGGTTTATAACCTCATCTATTTTGGGCTGAAAACATTTTGTGTCACCTGGGATACAGGGTATAACTCAGTGCCTTTGAGAACCACACCGATACATAGAGAACTTGAACCAACCCACATTAAAAAGTGACTTTGGAGCTATTAAGAATAATGGCCAGCTCTGCTGAAAAGCTTTCTTCAATGTCTTTGAGGTTTTCGTAATTACCTGGGGTTCCTAACATGAATAATCATGAAAGCATTGGCCATTATCATTTTACTGTTTAGCAGTCTTATTTTGCTGATTGCGAAAATAAAACATGTTCATTATTTTAAAAATTCAAAAAATGCTGAAAATGGTAAGTCTGACAACCTATTTCTTTCATCTCTTCATACCCAGGAAATCACCGCTACATTTGGGGAACAGCCTAGGTCCAGGTCTACACCTGTGGGGATGGCCGGAGTGGAAATGCAGCCCCCTGAACAGAGACAGACGCCTACACTGCGTGTACCAAGCTGTAAGCCACTTTTTCTTCACACCAGACCATCTTTCTGTGTCCGTGAAGGGGAAGCACATTATCACTTTTCAGCAGGTTAGAACAAAATTTCCTTAGCCAAGAAGTTCCCGTTTAACTTATTTTCCGTAATTTCTTCCTTTCCCATTTAACTTATTTAGACTTTTTTGCTATTTCATAAAACACCATCGCAGGCATCTTTGCACCCTTGTCTATTGTGGTGAGGATGACCCCAAGGTTAGTTATGACTCGGTCAAAAGTGTGACTATTAAACACTTTGATACCCATTGCCCATCTTCACAGGATGGTGGCATTTGACAGTGAGGCTGCTCTTTTCCTTAAGTCTTGCCGATTCGCCTGGGGCATTGGGCTCCTCTCTCAGCCTGTGACAAGGTCAAGGTAAAACTTGCCATCTTGTTAAAACCCCATCTTCTTTTGCTGCCCCCTTGCTTATGAACGGCCAGTGTCCTTCTCACACAGTCAGGCCGTTAAGTCCCCATATCGTGTTGCAGATTTCTGGCTCTTCTGTCACCAGCATTGGGCTCGTAGACACCCAGAGTGGCATTTATTTCCCCGTGGACCTTGTACAATGTTGAGCACACTGCAGCCACTTGGCTGGCACCTGGGTGGACGTGTCACGGCCTGGGTGTTGTGGCCCAGTGAGCAGGATCGTCATTCACCCTTCTAGTGTCACTATTCCCAAGCAAAAGGCGTGTGCTTTGACTGAGGGACACAGGTGGCCTTGGTTGCCACAAGCCCGTGTGCACAGCAACGAAGCCAAGACGCTGCCTGCTATTTCAACCAATAATTGCCCTCGAGAACAGAAGTGGCAAAGGAGCTATAATCGTCCACCCTGCCTGCTGGGACATTTTAGTTCTCATGGTTTACTGGGAGATGCTGAGAACCAGCCCAGTGTGGGCCAGTGGAGGCCCAGCGTGTCCTCCATGGAGGCTGGTACGATGGCAGCTCTGGTTCCCTTGTGTGTGCACGCTGGCTGCTCAGTGACCATCACCCAGTGGACTGTGTCGACTCACGAGTAACCACAGCTCCGTGGCAGGAGCTCAGGGACATCGTCCTTGACCCGAGGGAGCCTCGTCCAACCTGGTCTGCCCTCTCGCTGGCCCTCAGCCTCTCCCTCGGCCTGGCTCTGCTCTTCTGGTCCCTTGAGCTCTGCTCTTGCTCTTGCTCCCCACCCTGGGACTCTTTACTTTTCCTGCCCCGGTTCCTCCTGTCCTCACCTGGATCACTGATCCCTTCAGATTGGCCCTCATCTGATGGCCTCGGTGGTGAGACCCCGTCCCCAACAAGCCACAGGTACCCAGGCATTGGATCCTTAAAAAGCCCGTCAAGTTCACCTGTATTCTTGTGTATTATGTCACCCTTTCCTCCCTTGGGACCCCAGGACCCTGCCACAGTTGGGACCCCACTCTTGCTGATGGGTGGTCCTGGCAGCTATTTGTGTTCCGCCGTGGTGGCTATCTTAGTCCCAGAGACGGCGAATCCTGCGTGGATCAGCATTTTCCTGTTCCCGTAGTTAAATGGAAGCTTCTGACACTGAGGGGGGAGGGGCCCTTCCAATCCTAAATTTAGTGCTCTCAGACCGACTCCTCTGTATCATAACTTATGGTGGAAATCATGACATATGTTTTTGGGTAAGTAGTTTAGTCATTCTATTGGATGTCTTTAAACTCCTTCTGTCCTCTCCTCATTATCGCAGAGTTGATGTTTGCAATCCCGTGGTGTGGATACCCGATAGAGCATTTACATTCCGTTCTTGGTGGCAAGCAAACTCTCCTCCATATTCCGCAGCCAAGAGTTTCCTTCACAGTAAATTTCCTGGTTGTTGGATTTACATTACTGGGGAGATTTCGAATTACAGCGTCGTAAATCTGGAAGAGGCGCTGTTGGAGGTTCTCAAGTGTAACCCACAGTGCGACAGCCACAGAGCTGAAGCCCGAGGAGAGTCTCGAGCCAAGGGAGGCCCAGCGTCGCCTCTTCCTCCTCAGCCCTGATTTCCACACTCCCTCATTCTGGTCTGTCCCAGATGCTGTCCTTTAAGGTTCCCCTGCTGCCACCTGCCTCTGGCCTCACCCGCAGGGTTGGCCTTGAGAGCACCCCTGGGACCCTTGGAAAACGCACACCTGACCCGAGGAGCCCCTTTATTCTGGTCCTAGTCAGGGCTGTTCTGGGCCTTCCTGCCCTGTAGGCATGACAGCCTCTGCTCGGACACCCTGCTTCCACTCCACCCTAGCCCTTCCCAAACGTGTTCCCCGGAACTCCACTGGACACCACCAATCTCCACAGTTTCTACTCTTTCTGACCATCTTTCCTGAGTTTTATTTCTAAACAACTATGTTCATATACAAATGCACCCAGGTATCACATGGCAGAGTTTGTTATGGGGCCAGGGCTTCTGATGCTTTGCAGGATGTGAGCACCACCCCAGCAGCTTCCTGTGGGCATTCCTGGCAGCCCCACCAGCATGGCTGGGAGGCAAGTTGTGGTGGACCAGAAGCCCGGGCCACTGCAAGTCCCTGGTATCCTGGTCCTGTCCTCTTACTTCTATGGTCTTAGTTTCAGGATCTGCTCAAGGAAGTTCTGGGGTGCTAGTTCCCGGCAGGCAACTAAAGATGATGGTAATGTTCCATGTCTTTCCAAAAACCAGAAGAAACGATGGGAATGTTTTCACCGTAAAGAAATGATAAATGTTTGAGGAGACAGATACCGTTTAAGTGACTAACACGATGCCCCACAGATATGAATGATTTTATATTTTTATGTATCAGTTAAACAATTTTAAGTAAAATATTAAAAATTGAAATCAATAAAAACCACACACATATAAACACCAAAGAAATGGCCTGCTGCGTGCTGAGCACCCACCCTGACTGACCCCCACCCCACAGCTGCCAGACAGGTGCCTGGATGTGCTTCTTACAGGGGAGTGTGGCTCAGTGGTGTTTTAAGGTGAAAAGAAAGAAAAACCCAGCCAATCCTGATACATTTGCTTCAAGAACTTTCATGGAGAATCTCTTTCGTTGGGGAACCCCGGGTTTCGTGTTGGAGGTAATCAGCCATATTATCCTCTAAAATGAAGAGGAAGCCAGGAATGCAGGGCCCTCCTTGTCCAGAGAGGAGAGTCGGCTGTGGTCGGCAATCCTGTCCTCATTCCCGGCTGGGTCCTGCTGGGGGGGAAGTTCCTGTGTGGAGGAGAGGGTGGCCGTGGAGTGGGGAGGCCTCGAGGCAGGCGGGGCGCTTCTTAGCCACTCGCTAGAACTTGGGAGCTTTTCTCATCTACAGAGTGGGGACACGTGGAACCCACCCTCCCTCCCAGGCAGCCGTGAGGAGCACACAGGACAAGGAGCACGGACACTCCTGAGTGCGGTGTCCCCTCGTCCTCGTTCCCTTGGCTGCCCGTGTGGGGCCCACGGTACGGCCTTCTCTTGCTATCTGAGGACAAGTAATGGTGACCTCGGTCTGAAATTTGTGCTGAAAACAGCAGCTATTTTCCCTGGAGCTAGTGAGACCCAAGGCCACCAGCCCCTCAGGGGACCACTCCTCAGGAGGGTGGGCGGTGGGCAGTGGGCGTCCACGCAGCCCACATGCACTGCCCTCCTCCACCAGAGCAAGGGGGTCCAGAGCCTGCATGGAGATTCTGGGGGAGCCCCTCCAGCCGGAGAAGCTGCCTGTCGGGGGCGTGAGGGAGGGATTTGGAGTAGGGGGAGCAGGCAGCAGTATCAGCAAAACACGTCCACAGTGCCGTAGGAAAGGCTAGTGTCTCGTCACAGTCGTCAAACGTCTCAGTACAGCACTGACCCTGGGCAGGAATGAGGTCTAATGTTCTCTTTGTCTGACTGTATTCTCTCTGCCGCATCTGGGAAGGTGAATGAGGGCTCAGCAGTTTGCTCAGGGAGTGTGTGTGTGTGTGTGTGTGTGTGTGCATGCACGCGTGGTGAGTGTGTGTGAGTGGTGTGTGTGTGTGTGCGGCGAGTGTGTGTGCATGGTGAGTGTGTGTGCAGGT